GCTTCTTCTTGCTCAAATGAGACATTTTGTTGCTGTACAGATCAGTGTCGGTCAGTTTTTAATCATTCACTTCAAAGTGACCTTTTCGAATTGATAATCTCAGCTACGTAATTATATTAATCATTATTTTTGGTTTATTTTCTGTGTTATGCTTTTTTTTGTGCTCCTGCTAAGCTTTCTTAAACATTTTGTTCATACGTTTACGACTTAATGGATCGAAACATTTCTTACCATTAAATTAATTCTCTATAATTTACAAATTTTGTAACTCTCATCTTCTCCTACCTTTTTTACTCTTCCTGTTCTTTCATCCGCTGTTAATATATCCTAATTTCTTTTTTAATCTATTATACAATATATATTTATATGGTATATTTGATTTCAGATCAGTGGTACAGGAGACATATGAAAGATTTTTACCGCAATTACACTCAGGTAAAAGAAGACGAAGTAGAAAAACTTGCAGCAGAATTGGATCCAGATGAAATTATCGATAGAGAAACAGTAAGATTATTTTTTTTCTACTTTTGAACTTTTTTTTAAATTTATTTAATATGCCTAGTTCCTTAACGTAATTAAGATTTTGATCCAGAAAAACATCTTTTGTTTTCTTATTTTAGAGAATCCAGACGTGCGGTCGTAATTTGAAGGCCTTCCTGAAGCGCTGAGATATTTTTGGGATAGCACTATATTTCATTTTCATTTTTGTGCTTTTTTTGCAGCAATGCAATGCGAAAAACGCATATTGACGAGAGGTTGTCTCTGTGTGTGTGTCTGTGTCTGTGTTTGTGTGTTTGTGTGTCTGTGTGTACGCTGGGCCTCTATACCGATTTTTCATCTCGAGGCCCACAGGAGCTACGGGGCTGAAACTTGGGGAACTTATTCTACATGCGTGTGCGGGCCCCCATCTCCGAAATGAGCGCTCTTACCCGCATGGTACTCACTTTCGGGCCCGCCAAAATTTTTTTTGGGTAAGTTGCTAACTCGAGTACCTGTAAAGCTAGGAGGCTGAAATTTTAGGCTAGAAGAGGGTGTTTTCTGACAGTTCTGGCTGCCAGTCTTAATTTGTTTAGAGAGAAGCATTAACCGGGGAAACCGGTGCCGGTTGCGACAAAAACTGCGGGGAACTATGCAAAAAACGCATTTTCTCACGGACAGCCCATGCGTTGACCATTTATTTTACATGTAAAACTGATGAGTAGTAATTGCAGGTGGATGCTGTAATCAGTGTTTTAATCGATAATGTGGAAAAAGCGAGCGAATCCCTGGAAACAACACTACCCCATTTTCACTGCCCGTTGCCTTGTGAGTATCGTTACACAATGTGGCGTACGATATTCATTTGTTCTGCTTTATTGAATGTATTACTTGTTATTGCAGTTATTCCATTCATTGTATCTGTTATTAGGTCAGATGTGCCAGAACCACTTCTCATTC